TCCTTGACTTAATGTCTCTTATGATTTTGCACATTTGGTTGAAGTCATTGCTGTAGCATGGTGCGTTTCTTGATGCACGTCTTTCGAGATGATTTTTACAATGAAAGATGAAGCTATTTCGTCTTCCGAGTTAGGAAGCATATTGTCTTTTTTTTCAAACTCACTTCTCTCATCTTTTTGAAGGTTGTCGGGTATATCAGGATCATTTTCCCTAGCATCATGATTTTCCAGCTAAGCTCCATGTCGTGGGCTCGAGTAATAAGCTCTTCAAATGTGTGAGGCTTAGTCACTTGTAGGATATAAAGAAGCTCCCAGCACATACCTTGCATACATGCTTCAACTGCAGAAATTTCAGACAAACGATCCTTGCAGTCAAGACTTAGAGCTCGCCAACGGTTGATGTAGTTCACCACAGGTTCACCCTTCATCTGTTTTGTGTTTGCAAGCTCTAACATACTTACAGTACGACGAGTGCTGTAAAAACGGTTGAGAAATTTTCGTTCCATCTGCTCCCAACTGTCAATACCTCTAGCTTTGAGGTCTGTGTACCAATCAAATGCATTCCCTTTAAGGGAACGAACGAATTGCTTGACAAGGAGATCTCTATTTGTACCAGCATTGTCGCAAGTTTCTACAAAGTGTGCGATATGTTGCTTGGGATTGCCTTTTCCATCAAATTGTTGAAGCTTTGGAGGTTAATACCCAACCGGCATTTTTAAGATGTCAATTCTTTCTGTGTAAGGCTTTGAGTACATGTGATCATTTTGAGGAACGCCACTGTATTGTTCTCTTATGCAATTCATTATCATGTCTTGAAGTTGTTGGACAGAAAGTGAGGTGACGGAGGCAGCATCAATTATTGGATTGGCGGACATGTCATTTTGATCATCAATTGGAGTGTTCTCTGGCATGAAATTAGAATGAGAAATTTGGCCTTTGCTTGACTTAGCATTGTCGTTACGTAATTTTAACTTTTCTGATAAGCGCCGAATATTTCATATTCAAGCGCTCTTATTTGCATTAATTAAGTTCATTAGTTGATATTAATGCATAGTTTAGGTTTATTTGTTTGCTTTCATCTTCTTTCAGGTCGGTCTCCCCAATTATGGTTAAAGAAAGCGGTTTTGACACTCTTTTGAAAAATCGAAGCGCGCCGTTGCTAGGGACCGTTATCTAGGCCAAGTTCGCGAACCATCATGTGCACAAATGTTGTGGCATTGATTCCAGTATGACAATTGTGTCGTCAGGCCAATCCAAAGTGGCCAAAGAGAAGACTGCAAGCCATGAGCACAGGCCTCCGTGGGCGCCTGTGGGGCTCCAGCGATGCGCCCGCCAATAGCTCACCTCACTGCCTTGTTTCGCGGCGCCTTGCATAGCAACCACAGGAGCCCCTGCGCCCTCCCGCGGGCGCCCGCCGCGCCACCGCGGGCGCCCACCAAACACTCCAGTACCATCTCGCGAGCCACAGCTTCAGCGGGCGCTGGCAGGAGCCTCGCGAGTGCCCGCCGACCTTCTGCAGGCAGTTCACCTGCTCCTGTTTTTCAGTATTTTTTGTCCCCTTATCATCTTTTTGTGTGGTCTAGCTTCATGCAGAGGGGGATTTCAGGATTTTGGGGTATGGTGAGTAGGTCTTGATGGATAAGAAGAGAGAGGGGAGGCCATATCTCACACACATGATGAGAAGAGCAAAAAGGCTCTCACTTGTGAAGTTCTAAAAAAAAGAGAGGTGTTCTTGGAGAAAAAAGGTGCAGAAATGGAGGGATCCTCTTCTTCCTTTTCATTCCTTATAACATTAATAGGTAATTAAACCTCCACCTAGGGAGGTAATGAAGCTCATCCTTGTAAGCATGCATTAATTTTGATTTATTTTGGGGAATGTAATGTATGTATGGACTAAGTTTCATAATCTAGAGCATTTTACAATGTGTAATGAATATTATTTCTTATAAATGATCATGTTGAATCAATTATCTTGTCTTAGATCATTTGTTCTCATGGTTGTATGGCTAGTAGTTCCATAGTGACAATGGAAACAAGATTATGGAATGGTTTTAATGGCATGGTTTTTGAGAAATTTGTTAATCCATAGCTTAAGGTTTTCTTTTGATGGGTTAATCTTTCATCTTGATTCCATGTGCTTTTACCATTTAATCTAGGGTTTGATAATCTCTAGATTAGCGAACATGTCTAAGGTTACACCATAGTCTAGGTAACTCAAGCATGTGAAGCTTTGATAGGTTATTCTTACCTTGTGATTATTTGAATTTCTTGAAGATATTGTAGTAACCATGTGTTGCTATGTATCATGGTCACATATATATATTAATTCCCCAAAACAATCATATTCTTAGCATGTGTAAAAGGTTGGAGTAGATTCACTTCCCTAGTCTTCTTTACTTGTATTTCATCTCCTTTAAATTCCTGCAAGCTCTTATTTTATGCATCTTAATTTTATAGCTTAAGTGACAACCAACAAATCCTCTATGAACACCCCATATCATTCTAAAAAGACTCTAGACACTTAGGTTGCCATAGATTAGCGCAGTCCCAGTGGTTCGACTTACCCGACCAATAACCCTATTTTACAATGATTCGTGCTATTGCGAAGGTTGATTTATTATAGATCGAATTCTCAACCGATCATTTTCTATCAGTGAGGCAATTTTCAGATCTTGCTCCTTGAGAGAGTGTTGTAATCTTTCAATTACACGGGCCATAGTCGTCAATTGTTCTTCGTACGAGGTAATACTCGTCATCATGACTGGCATAGTGATGGAGTTAGAAAAAATCTTTGGCCTTGGGTGGACCAGCCTTGAACGTGAACTTATGACTGGAGTAACCTTTGAGGTTGTAGGAACCTTCCTCCTTGCCCCTAGCGAGGTGAAGGCGGTATGAGTTTGAGTTGTTACTTTGACAGATTTAGAAGAATTGACTCTCATTGCATTGTGCTGTCTTTTGGCAGGAACGGATGATTTGACCATGCTCCACATCATTGAACTTGCAAAGGTGTTTGTACCACTTGACGAAGTTGCAACCTTTTTGCCACCTTTTGTGATGGTATTGATGTTGTCCGTCATAACTGCGATATCTTTGGTGGTATTCTTGCTCTTCGTCTGAATCTTATTGGAAGTCATAGAATCTAGCGATGAATTTGTTGAAGATTTGATGTAGGAGAAAGAGATGAGGGCAGAGGATGTCCCACTGGGCGTGCCAGAAATTTGTACACAAAATTTATTATTTGCAAATAAGAAACAAAATTGGGAGCAAATAGAATATTTTATTAATTTATAAAGATAGAGTACAATCCTCTGTAATAATATTCCAAAGAATAAGGTCCTCTGATTCGATCTCCTTTTTGGTTGATTGGATCCAAGGGCTGCATGAGCTTGATCTTGAATCACCATCGAATTTGGATGAAAAACGACACGTCTTTGGTTGTGTTTGTTGTTGATCACCGTGGAATTTGGATGAAGATCGACATGATTTGATGTGCTTGTTGTTCTTCGTCTTTAGAGAGGATTTGTTGAATTTGGTAAAGAACGGCACGACTTTGGATGTGCTTGGTGTCTTTGCCTTTAGGTTTGCCCTCTGGATTTCTGATTCCCTCAATTTTTGGACCTTCTGGATTTCTGAGTTTCTGAATTTCTGAACTCTGAATTTGTGTCCTCTGGATTTCTGGACTCTATATTTGTGTCTTCTGGATTTCTAGACTCTGAATTTATGTATTCCTTCCTTCTTCCTCCAGGCCTCTATTTATAGGTTTCTTGGATCCACAAGATGATGACACGTGTCATCTCCTGATAAGGATAAAATAATAATTGGGCCGGGACGGTTATATTATGATAATTCTCCTTAAAAATAATTATTCCAAATATATTTTATTAGGAATAATTATCTTTTTATTTAATCATCTTGGCTGGACTAATTAAATAATTTAAGTGGACTAAGCTTGAACCAATTAAATAACTTAATTAAACATTAGACCCATATTTAATGGGTCCATTTGTCAAAATCAAAGCCCACTAAAATTTTAGTGTCTACAGAGTGGTCAATGGAAGGAAAATTATTTGCCACCCTTGACCAATATGCAGTGGTCATGGTATTTTCCCTCTGCGATTACCACACTCTCACTCTTATTTGAAGGAATATTTTGGACTCTCAAATGTATCAATTCTTAGCATATTATATGGTTAGAGAGTAAAAGATATGTAACAAGTGAGTCCACAATTTTAAAAAAAATGCTGATTTGGGTACCTTTTGAATGGCGAATTTGAAAGCAAGTGAATGATGCTCAACAACATGGATGCCAAACAAGTCATTGAGGAGCTTTGCAACAAATGGGCCATGAAGGGGCCTGTCTATGGTGCTCAAATGGAAATTCCTCCATTCCTACCATCACTGGAAGGAACTAGAAGATTATTCCCAACACTGTTTCCAAGCTCACCATCAGAGTAACCATCCACCATATTTGGGAAGAACAGAAATCCAGACTCTTCAAAGGAGCGACATCCACTCAGTCCCAAGTAATCGATCAGTGTCAAAGCAAGGCTCCTCCTCTGCAATTTAAACGATCCGTCCAGAATTGCACATGGATGGGATCTCCCACCAGAATCCACCATTCCTGTTAAGCCCCAACTATAAATTTTTATTTTTTATTATTTGAAGGTAACCCTAACTGCTATTGGAAATTCAAAATGTGACTGATAATCTTAATTTCGGATGGGGCATTGGGCCTGGCAAGTTCTTTGGGGTTTTGTTTGGGTTGGGTCTTTTGCCGGGCGGCCGTAGTGGACTGGAGACACTGTGCAGGAACTATGAGTCTCCATCAGATTTGTCATACTTCAATTTTTTATTTTTATTTTATAGGATTAGTTATTCCATCACATCAAAAATGTTTAAGAAAAAAAGTCATTTTCTGATCTATATAAGTTAAGGCTCTGTCCTGCTCCACTCACGGACAAGCCTTTCCTTTCATGTGGTCTCCTGTTTGAGCTTTGAAAATGGCAGCTTCCTGTGTTTACGACGTGTTCCTGTCTTTCAGCGGTATTGATACCCGTAAGAAATTCACAGCCCATCTCTTGGCCGCTCTGGATCGGCATGGTTTTTACACATTTAGAGATGACACTAAACTCAAAAGAGGGGAAGAAATTGGTCTCGGATTGCTAAAAGCAATTGAGCAATCTAAGGTTTCTATTATAATATTCTCCGAAAACTACGCGGCCTCAAGATGGTGCCTTGATGAGCTTGTGACGATCATGGCTTGCAAGAGAACACTCAATCAGATTGTTATTCCTATCTTTTATGACGTGCAACCCTCCGAAGTTCAGTCACCGATGGGTTGTTATGCAAAAGCATTTTCCAATCACGAAAAGCAGTTCAAGGAATCGGTGAAGATTTGGAGGTCAAACCTAGCTGAGGCTGCCAATTTGTCCGGTCACGTCCTGCAAAATGTGGCCAAGGGGTACTTTAACTCTCTTTTCTTCAAAAAAAAAAAAAAAAAAATGTAATCTAAAACATTACGAATTTGGTCACTCATTTATTTTGATCTTTCATCTATCTCTATGTAAAAATTGCTTAGCTTCATTTTTTTGAATTTCATTTTTCTCTTGCAACGGTTGAAATTTTTTATTTTTTATTTTTGGCCAGATGTGAGTCAACCTTTATTGAGATTGTTGTTGGAGTAGTCGCAAAGATATTAAATCCTACATGGTTAAGTGTTCCAGACTATTCGGTTGGAATAGAATATCATGTTGGAAAACTTAATTCCTTTCTACATTTGGATTCAATTGATTCAAATAGAGATGTTAGGATTGTTACCGTATGGGGAATTGGGGGAATAGGTAAGACAACAATTGTTAAAGAGTTGTATAATCGCATACATAGGAAGTTTGAAAGTAGCAGCTTTCTTGCAAATGTTGGACGAACTTCGATGCAGCCCAACGGCCTTGTTGAATTACAAGAAAAGCTTCTTTGTGATATCCTCCTAACGGATGGAAATCAGAGAATAAGAAGCGAGGATTATGGAATTGAGGTGATAAAACGGCGAGCATGGTGTCGAAGGGTTCTTCTTGTTCTCGATGGCGTGGATAACATCAACCAACTGAGGGCATTAGCCATAAATAGTGATTTCTTACGCCCTGGAAGTAGAATCATAATAACAACCAGAGATTTGTCTTCAGTAAGTTCGCTTGAAATGGATGGGGTATATATGCCTCAGGAGTTGAATCACGAGGAATCTCTTCAACTCTTCAATTGGCATGCCTTTAGGAGTTACCGTCCTGTACAAGACTATGAGATCCTCTCTGAGAAAGTAGTAAGTTATGCTAAAGGGCTTCCTTTAGTTCTTGAAATTTTAGGTGCCTCTCTGTTGAACAGGACCATAACTGAATGGAAAAGTGAATTGAAGAAGTTGAGAAAGATTCCTCATACGGATGTTCAAAGACAACTTGCGTTGAGCATGAATTCACTTGATGATGAACAAAAGGGTTTATTCCTTGATATCGCATGCTTTTTTGTTGGAATGGACAAAGATTTTCCAATCAAAATACTAGAAGGTTGTGGTTTCTTCCCAGAATCTGGAATTGGGGTTCTATCTCGTCGTGGTCTTGTGAGCATTGATTGGCTTAACCGGCTGACGATGCATGATCTGATTCAAGACATGGCTAGAGAGATCGTCCGCCAAGAATGTCCTGAAGAACCAGGCGAGCGTAGTAGATTGTGGTATCATAAGGATGCTCTTGATGTACTGAGAATTAACACAGTAAGAGCCAAATGCATGAATTAATTACATATCTTGTGTTGCTCATTATAAAAATGTCATAGCACACTACACATCATGAAAGTCTCACAATCTGGGAGGTGAACCTATTTTTAACACCATGTTACACACACACACACACATATATATATATTTACATTCTTACATATATATATATATATATATATATATATATATATATATATATATTTACATTCTTATATCTACAACTTTTCTTATCATCAGGGGACGAAAACAATTCAAGGCTTAGTCCTAAACTTACCAGAATCAGAGGAGCTACAACTAAATCTGAAGGCATTTACAAAGATGGAGAGGTTGAGACTGCTGCATCTCAATTCTGTCAATTATCCAAGTGGAAGCTACAAATTACGTCTCTCTGGAAGACTTGTATGGCTATCTTGGAAAGTATTTCCTTTAGATTGTATACCATCAACTTTAATTATGGATAATCTGGTTGCAATTGACTTGACTTATAGCAAGCTCAAACAAGTTTGGAACGGAACAAAGGTACGCTTATACTATTGTTTTCATCTCCTTCAAACTTAAATAAGACAACAACATACATTGCAATTTATTGCTTTCTGATCCTACAGGTTTTGTACAAATTAAAATACCTCAATCTAGGTCATTCCTATTTCTTGATCAAAATCCCAGACTTCACGGGGTTCCCCAGTCTCGAGAAATTGTTGCTTAATGATTGTACAAAGCTGGTAGAGATTCACCGATCTATTGGATGTCTGAAAAATCTTCTTGTCTTGGATCTGAAGAATTGCCAGAATCTTGAGAAGATTCCCCTGAGCATTTTCATGTTGAAGTCTCTCCTTGATTTCAACCTGTCTGGCTAATCTAAATTAGAGTGGCCTGCATTTTTTCAAGGATCGTCACTTGAACCAAGTTTTTCGTCAGTACAGTTATCAAGTTGCATCAAGGAATTACATATGGAAGACTGCAATATAACATACGTGCCCAGCGAAATTGGAAGTTTGGTGTCCTTGCAATTTTTGAATCTTAGCGGAAACAAGTTTTCTAATCTACCAACTACCATCGCTAGCCTTCCACTACTGAGGTACATTTTTGTAAACAAATGTCCTAGGCTTGAATTCGTTCCGGCACTTCCAGTAAATTTATTTGGATTGATTGCAAACTACTGCTCATCATTGCAAAGTATATCAATGGAATCAAAAGCACCAGAAGCACAACGTATGAGTTTTTATGGTTGTCCCAAATTAGTCCACAACAATTTTGCATATAATTTTAGAAGAAATCTCCTCCGTTATCAGGTACACTGCTCTGTTTTCTCTTTTCCTATGTGTGTGTAGTACTTGAAAGAAACCAAGCCTTATTATTTTCAATGACAAATGTCTGACTTTTGACTACAAAAAAATGAGCTAGCATGCATTCTGATCGCATAGGTAAGGCTGTTTGGACTGATGGCTAATACTTATGCAAGCTGCAGGAACTACGAGAACAAGGTGAGTTGAATATTTTTCTTCCCGGGTGTGAGGTTCCGAGGTGGTGCAACTACCAGAGTGAGGTTCCGAGGTGGTGCAACAACCAGAGTCAGGGACACTGTTTACGTTTTCAGATACAGCATTCAGAGGGTAGGATAATACAAGGGTTTATTCTCTGTGTTGTTTTTTCTAGCTACGGCAGCCTCAATCAAGATTTTTCTATTTCCTATTACTTTAATAATAGAACCAAGATGTCTAGGTCACCATACCATGGACAAATAGTTGAATCCTATCCTGCAAGTTTTGAAGATCAGATGTGGCTCTCCTACATACCAAACTGGAGCCTTGGATCTAATTTGGAGTGTCACCATTGTTGCTGCGGAGATGAAGTGGAGATTGAAATAACAATGAACCGTTGTTGGCAGGTGAACCAATGTGGGATTAGTCTGGTTTACAAGGGCGATGACAAGGATCCCAACTCATATGATAATGAATTTCTTGATGGGATTCATATATTTCCCATTCGAAAGATACCTTGTCAAAAAAGTAGGAATCACAGGTATTGCTTTACGTAATTATATGCAAATTAATATAAAAAATAACATCTGTATCCAATTCGTCTCTCCAAACACTATATATGGATTAATAACATGATCTAATAATAGATTAAGAAGTTTTGTTTTCATAATTTTCTAGCTATTCTTTTTCTATAAATAATTTTCAAGACTCAGTGTAGTGACCTGAATAATGTTACTAAAATTAGATTGTTGTGATGAATCCTACAAATAGTCAGCCGATTGTGAGAAGGAAAGGAAAGTTTCTTCTATTCAAATGAAAATGGTAGCGGAGATTGTGGTATATTCCATAAGATAAAACTAATGGTTCCACAGTTATGAAGCACAACCACTTTAATTAAATAACTGAATATTAATTAGCTTTAGATTTATGTCAATTAAACATTTCCAATAATGAATTATTAGTTACGAAGCGAAAGCTATGATGAACCTTCACAAAGAAATAATAAAACAACTTTAAATTCATAGAGTTGAATTTTCAAATACTATCGATCAATGTATATTTGCTAAATGTATGTATAAAAAAGAGAAATCAAAGGTTGCAGCCTAGTGGTATTTCCTTGCCTCCAAAATTAGAACATTAAGGGTTCAAATCCTGTAAGGGCAAATTGGATGTGTGAGTTTTTCTTGCCAATTAAAATTGAATTATCTCTAAAAATTATGAAAAAATAGGAGAAGAAAACTAGTAGATACAAATAAATAAATAAATAAAACGAGTCAAAATCCTAAACAATAGAATTTGGCCAAAAGATTACAACACTCTTTTCCTTATAAACCAGCTGTGGGCCACAAGCAAATCTTGTGTGTTGTGTTTTGATCGCTAGGCCATTTCGGATCTAGGATGAACCTTCGCAAGTCAAAACGGACTCGTAAAATTGTACCAAAAAAAAAAAAAAAGGGGGGTTACCTAACTACATACAATAAAATTTTCAAGTAACAGAGACTTGTAGAAAGTTGTTTTGCCTGTCAAAAATCATTTTGTGGCATTTCGCAAATGTTTATGGGTTCACATGAGTCACTCTTTCAACGCAGCACTTTGTGTAACAGATACATATTTCAACAGTATCCAAATCTGCCCTTTATAGAAACTAGATGAAACACATCGTTTTAGAATATATGCTACTTGTTTTATTGGGTAGAACTAATAAATGAAGAGAAACTTACCGAACATTATTTTTGAACTGAACAATTTGATGATACAAGTTTCCTTTACAAAGGGTATTTAGTTACCGTATGGTTGAAAATCCTTTATGATTGAGTTCAAGTAGACAAAAATATAAGAAATTATGAAGAGATATGCACATGATACTTTTGTATTAATAGCTGAATAAGCATATAAATTGCACAATAACTAAACATGCAAATAAATTAGTGTACAGAGAGACAGACAAAATAGCATCTGTAGATAACCCAGAAGTTATACAAATTTTCACAATTATTTCAAACAGTATGGTGCAGAAATATAGGATCTCAAGAACAAATACTCCGAGAACTTCAATAAAGAAACAATGGAGTTAGTGTACAGACATATTTTAATCTAACCTTTCTGCAACAAAATATTGAACAAATTAATCCATATCTTCAATTTGTTTTGTGTACTAAAATTCTACAACACTAATCAGGGGAAAATATGTAGAGCCCCATTCTATATTTTTGTTCAATAACATAGATTATGATCTTCTTTCTAAAGATAAAATGAGGAAGGGTGAAAATTCTAGTCAAGGGATAATTTCCAGTTCTCATAATCATTATATTTAGACATGTAACGCTCAAATCATCTTCATACTCTGGATTTCCAATACCGAAGATATGTGCTACTTTTTTTCAGTTCTAAAACACACCTCTAAATTTTTCTTCTTTTATTCTCCTCATTTTCGTTATAGAACTCTTCATCTCCCCATCTTTCTGCATAATTCATCCTTTCTCCTTATAAAATTTTCATTACCGAGTTTGTTACACATCTAAGTCTCTATCCAGCCAAAATATTTAGCATATGATGTAAAATAAAAAATCCCCAAGATCTAACTCTTTCTAAAGATCTTCGAATTACTTCAGACTGTAGTTTAGGCTTCATCTAATAACTTCCCCAGATTTCATTTGCCTTAGCTTGCCATGCCTTCTCTGATCTCTACTGAATATAATATGTGGTTATAGGTTACAACATACAAGCACCACGCTGCAATAAACTAGGAATGCAACCTATAGCATTCGGCAACCAGAGCATGCCGATCCGTAGCAATCCTAAAGAGACTGGGAAAGATGCATAAATGTATCCGTAATATGAATTGCCAACACACTTTGTCAAACACACGTAACACCACCTTTTAACCTTTAGATCCCTCAAGTTACAAAGTAGAGATTTCAGTTCCATCCCACATATACATTCCTAATTATTGTTTCTAATTCTCTTAGAATTTTATGGAATTTGAATTCCATTCATCGTAAAATACTTCAGTCAAACATAATAATCTCCTATTTTAATATATTTGATAATAGAAAAGACCCCATCAACTATTCAAAGTAGATATTTGAGAAAACTTCATAACCACTCGACAGAGGCAACATCCAACTTCTTATAGTGATAACTAAAGTGGCATACAAATGAGTTCAGAAAAGGCAAGAAATTATTAAAATATGGTGCACCTAAATTATTTTAAAGCATGTCACTTACCTATAAACAATTACCTATTAAATATAACCAGCCTAGTGAAGCAACTTTCTGAATTGGTTTTCGGTAGTGAAACAATTACCTATTAATTCCTCCCCCACCTCTCTCTCTCTCTCTCTCTCTGAAGAGATCATGAGTCTACCACTTGGGTCATGCACCAAACACCATATAAATTAATGTGTAAAAGGAAGATAACACTGTCCACTTCCTATGCGTTGTTTGATGGATATGGAAAATGAAATCAGGATGAATCCTTCCCAGCTAAAGGAATGATAAAAAGTTTCAAAGGTCTCCAAGGTCTCACACAGGTGG